GCTGTAACCCCGTAAGTACCCAGCGCATCGTAGCGCACTGATGGTTACAAGAAGGTGGACGTTTACTGATTCATTTGGTATATCACATGTGCGGTGTTCTTTGGCGATACTTGGAATATAAGGCAACTACGTGTTTAGCTGCAGCCTGTGTTCGAAACGGTATTCTAACCCTAGCAATACCGTTTCTTGGAGCTAACTGAATAGCGACAAGTGTCCGTGATAGTTACTACTACTAGTACTAGTACTACTACTAGTACTATTAGTATTACTAATAATACTACTAAGTACTAGTACTACTAATATTAATAGCAATACTTTTAGTAAAAAGTAAAACGTAAAAAGCAACAAGTAAAAAGTAAGAAGCAAAAAGTAATAACAATCGAAGAATATAGACTATAGTTAACTAGAAAGTAGAATAGAATTAGGCTAAGATACAAGATACAAGAAGAAAGGCAGCCAAAAACGAAAACGTTAACATAACAACCTTCCTGATAACCTTCCTGTTGCGCATGAGAACCAGAATATACCCCAGTCTATAACCTTTATAAAGTAACGTTAGCATAATTATAATAAAGCATGGAAGCTGCCATGTTGGATCCGTGTATCTAGACGAGCTCCCTAACTTTGGACTTATTTTACTTTACATTAACGAAGCGACGAGGGAGCCATCTAGGCACCTCTGCCACGTGACCTAAATACATTCGTTTAAAATTTGTCACCTATCGTAGAGAGGGGTAACGGGTATTTTTGGGACGCGGGATTGGCCATTTTATTTACCTGGGAACTGCGAAATGTCAGATAAATTTTCCGTGATTCGGGAACAGAAGTCCATCGGGACGTGGGATAGACCCTCTAAAATTGTCTGGGATCTGGGAAAATTGTGTCAATTCGTCGGGATTTCAATTTCTGAGCTAATATTTTTATTTCGTTTATTTATTTTTTATTTTTTTATTTATTCTGCGCTAATTAGATTTATGTAGACCCCAGATAAATAATAGTATGTAAATATTAGTATTTATGTAGTGTTTGCAAACCTAAACTACTGAATTTCCAGAAACATATCTACATAATTTCCTGGGAACTGGGAATTGGGATTTTATTTTACTGGGAACTGGGAATTGGGATTTTATTTTACTGGGAACTGGGATATGGGTAGCCACAAGTTCCCATCTCGCTTAACACTTTGCTTAACACTACGTGGCGAGAGGAGTGTAACAGTCCTCCTCCGTCGTGTAACAGTCGGAGAGCCTGGTCGGTTTAGGATATGGGGTGTTTTTTTGCTGGGAAAGTGGGAATGTCATAGAAATCTAACTAACTATTA